GAGTTTCAATGTATGCTCATGTGACTAGTGCTCATTTTGTCTGGTAGTAGACTGGTGCTACGAGTGTGAGGGACTACTCCGAATAGAGGTACACAACGGACAGTAACGGACAAGGAGGCAGGTAATGTATTAGCGGCAAGTTCGCATTCAGATGAAGTGGATTAATTGTCGTATCAAAATGTAGACCCGAACCGTTAGTTCTAATGAATATAAAAATCGATCGGTTCTCCCCCGCCTCTTATTCCCGGTTTTACATCTGTGTACCGGCTATTCAAGTGAATGATAACAAACTTGATAATTAAGCGGTACGCGCTGGTCACCGGAAAACAGATAGCCTGGCACACACACACACATCACAGACCCAGAAACATGTGCAGCGTTTGATCTCAGTTTGCTAGCTAATGTGACCATAAATCCAACGGAGAGAGAATCGACTACACGGGAACGGGGTAGGTGGGAAAAAATGGAGAACATTGTTAATGTGACAACCGGATACACAATCCCCTACGCTGCCTCACTCTTCTAAAAAAAGATGTATCAATCGACCACATTATTGGCAAACAACAATTGGCATACAATCGATACACAGACTTGTAGTGAATGTAATCAGATTTTGCAATTATATTGCATTTCTTGTAAAATCAATCTATGGAATTCGGAGACAGATTGTGTAGATGCGAAAGGGAAAACGAAAAGGAGTTGCAGTTGTGAAAAACCTCTACCCTTAGGAATGCGCCAGAATGCAATTTAAATAAGTAAGTAATCCAGAGGACGCATTCCGGTGACCACTGTCAAGGTAGCTAACTCATTCTTGTTTCCAACAAACGGAAGAAGTTTTGAATTCATTCAAATCCCACCCAACCAGTCAGAGAGGGTAATTGAATGAATTTGACATTGAACCTGAACCATTCAGAAACTGGATAAACATGAATAAAACATATTGAATGAGGTCTAAACATTCGCTACGACCAACCGGTTTATTTATTGTGCACTCAATCCAAAAACGATAAGCTATTTATTGGCCATAATAAACACACTTACGAAATAGCAATCATTTATTAGGAAGAATGAACTAACATGCTGCTTTGCATAAAATATGTTCATACTCTGAGTTGCAACTGTCGAACTACGACAAATTTTACCGTGACACTCAAGGTCGCACAAATTCGAACGGTGATAGGAGGGAACTAAGAACATTGCAATGGAGATTAAGTTCGGAATAAATAACCTTCAACCAAAGCTATTGATATACACCACTGACAATGATAATGAGAATAATGTATTTCCAGAATGAACGTCACGTTGCACGAGTTCCATCGATCCCAACAAAGGCTCGATGATAGCCGGTTTGTATGTTTCTTTAGAGTGCGGGGGTGGGGGGGAGGGATGGAGCGTGAGAGAAATACAATCGGGGAGAAATCTTACTTCAAACGAGACTCGGCCAACAGGAGGGCATTTTGCAGACTTGGCTCACCGGAACAAGTGCGTGAGTATAGGGCATCCAGCGCAGACAAATGACACCGCGGATTACCTGAATGATCCGGAAAAATTAAAGGATTTTTTAAAGAAATCCAAAAAGGAAGAAAACAAAAAAAAACCATGAAAACGTTTTGTGTTAATATGACACAAAAACGGGGGTGAATCGCACCGGAGGACCCGCTGTTTCGTAAAAGTTTAAGGGTCACACTGCCTCTGTTTAAACTTGTTTATCGTTGAAAGAGCAGTGACTATGATAACTAGGAGTGTTATGCAAACAGCAAACTGTATTTTTACGACCAGATTTTGTAAGGTGTTGTAACCTACAAGTGACTGACTGATATATTTGTCGCGCTTGTCTATGTCAAGATTGATTGATAGGTTGATTGGCAGATGCTGTCAGCTTGTACACACGCACGCACTCACGCCATGCGGACTGACCCCACTAGAATATCGATCGGGTCCAGCCAATCAGATATTAGTGTTGGACTGGCCCCACGCTGATTGCTTGGTTGACTGTCCGAATACCTGCTTGACCGCTTACGGATATCGTGTGATACTGGTGCCTCTTAGCAATCGAATGGGCTAATCCAAGCTCGCTACTCTAAAAAAAAAATAATAACAGGATTCTCCCTAACATTGGAAAAAAGTGAACACTTAGAAGGATATTTTCTGGGCTCAACATGGTCTCAGGCATAGTGCTACGTTAATACTATTGATGAACTTTATATGACCTTCTGTCGGATAATAAATTGAATAAGAAACTACCTGAGAGAGGAGCGGCGGTATTGGAGACATTCTTCCATAGATTACTTTTGTGTTAAACTGACGCTGACCATGGACTACGGCAAACCATGGTAGATTGAAATTATTGGCGATGGAGTTAAAACTAACGGTCCAATTGACTTTGGGCCGCGCGCGTGGCGGTCTGTGTTCATGTTTAGTTATGCGATAGACAACAAGAACAGAAAGGAAAAACGAAAATCATATCCAATTCGAACATGGAACCAAGGCAGATTTGATGGAACTCAATTTCTCTTGTCCTTAAAACAATGAAGTAATTCGGAATCCCTGAATCGTTTGGTGATTTTCTCTTTCGGTTGCACTTTGCTCTATCTTGTACTTTCTTATTAAAGCACATTCGCATCAGAATTGCAGAGATTGTTTTGGCTCAGTTAATTTTGAACCTCATCGAAATTGTCTGGTACGAAAATGCAAAATGAGAGGAAGAAAAACGAAACATTACAAATCTTTTCGTGGTGAACGGTTCATTGTTGCAATTAGTGACCGGAGTGACGCAATAAGACTCCGGAAATGGGTGCGCATGAAGTGGTTGCGCTCTCCACAGGCGAAAATAAAACAATAGTATTCCCGTAACGCACTGCTACAAACGTTCCGTCCTAATCAGACCAGAATAAATCCACGAGAAACAAAACAGGAGTAAATATTTGGCTTGATCGAAGTGCGACCACAGTTAAAAGAAAGGCTAGGGTTATTTCGATTAACAGTGCATACTATTCCTATGACCACATCTGCAATACTCACTTTCTCCTCTCTCTCAACTGCAGGTCCGAGAGGCATTGGATTCGAGATTCACTCCTCAAAAAGTTATTAAGAATCCGTTCAGATGTTATGTTTAGCAAGAGCTCCTAGGTATATATATATATATATGTATATATAAACATTAATCTTTAAAGATACGGCACCAAAATAGCCAGTATAGAATCAGAAGTGGTCAACAAAAAACAGTCAACTCGGGGAAAAACAGTTATTTTGGTTTGTTTACAGCACGCCATTTTGAGTTCTTGTTTCAATTTTTGGATCGCACACAGAAAAGGATGCGTTCGCGCCGGGGACTTCCGTTCGATGCCATATCCCATCAACTATCAGAGCCTTTAGGGCCCCAGACGGGCGACCCTGACGTAAGCTAAATCCGAGCACAATCTCTTTAACCGTCTGCGCCACGGCATNNAGCCTACCAACCTCGCTGTTTCTTTCAGCGCGGATGGATGTCTACAAATAGTTCAAAGCATGGTAGGATGTGCCCTAGCCACCTAAGGCGATGCTGCGAAATCACTTTACTCAATAGAGGACTATCAGATCCTAATGCACGTCGTCTGATCTCATCGTTATTCACGCGGTGCGCCCAATAAACTCGGGCGATATCGCGCAAACAACGCTTGTCGAAGATGGATAGTGGTTGGACCTGATCGGCTGGGGAGGCCAAGTTTTGCAGCCATAGAGCAACAAGGCGTGTACCGTTGCGCGAAACACGCTCTTTCACTGGAAGGGATAGGTCCTACCGGTGACAGAGATGCCGCGGATTAGCAAACGCAACTCTAGCTTTGATTACGGGTTGAGAGAGAGAGCTACCGCGTGAAGGGTGGAAGTTTTGGTTTCTATCTTTCGGCTGCCCATTTGGATGACCATCAGACATGAAAGGTGGAAAGTAGGATCGAAGAGAAGATCGAAAAGTTCAGTGCATTATTGATACAGAGAAATTGAGAAGATGCACGAACGCCACTGTTTACGACACCTAGCTATATCACTCACTGTCTCTACCAATGGGGACAACCATACCGAGGTACCTAGCCAGGGAGCCTAACGGACATATGTGACCCAAACTCCTGGTTAGGGTTTCCATAACCTCATGCCAGATCTTAGCTTGACCACCCTTGGCCAGATTCCACCCACTAACTGCCTCGGCAGCCATTAGTCGCCGTGGCAACCTAGTTGCAGACATGCGTAACACATGCCCCAAACAGCGTAATCTATGGAGGCCGACCACTTGCTCCAGTGGGCGACCGCGGTTACCTAAATCTTTTCGCCTGACCTCAGCATTGCTCGTCCGGCTGCCCCACCAGATTCGTGCAATGCTGCATAGACAGCGATGTTCAAACACCGACAATCTATCTTTGTCCTGCTGTCTTAATGGCCAAGTTTCTGCTCCATATAGCAGAACTGGCCGAACTAATGCAGCATACACTTGACCCTTAACAGACAATCGGATGTCGCGACGGCGCCACAGATGTCTCAAGTTGACAAATGCCAACCGAGTCCTCTTCATGCGAGCTGATACTTCATCCGTGATGCATCCATCGGGTGGGATATAGCTGCCCAAATAACAAAACTTATCTACTCGCCCAGATGAAAAAACCTATCCACCTGCTCTATTACTTCTCCAGTTAGAGTGAGGCTGGGTGCTGGACCGACCCAGTCTTGTAGTAGCATTTTACACTTTGAAGGTGCAAAACGCATACCAAACATGAACACGCTAGCACCCAAACTATCCAGAAAAGCTTGTAACTTACCTGGATTTTCACTTGCTGGAACAATGTCGTCTCCATATTCTAGATCAGACAGTCTGACACCTGAAAGTAAATCTCTGCCAGTATCCTCCCACGAGAATAGGGCTCTTTCCATAATCAAATCCATGACGAAGTTAAGTAGAAAAGGAGACAGGGCAACCCTGTCGAACATCACTTTCCGTGGTGAACTCGGGCGAAAAAGTGCCGTAAGCTCGAACTCGGCTTCGGTTATGAGTATAAAGAGATCGCAATATTGAAATAAACCTTTCGGGCACATGTTTCAGAGAAAAGCAGCACCAGATGCCTAAAACCAGCCTGGTTCTCACGCGTGCACTCTTCACGTGCGACAGGCAATCGACGGAGTATGATACCAGCGAGCAGTTTAGAAGCAATGTTGATTAAACTAATTCCTCTGTGGTTTTCACAACAGGACCTGTCACCTTTCTTGTAAATCGGTATGATGACCGATTCACACCATTCAGCTGGAACCTGTTCCCTCTCCCACGCTGAGCCTGGGACTTTCGGTAACTCCGAAACCACTGCTAAACCTCGACAGAGAATGTGGTGAACTAGGAACAAGCCTCAGAAGGGTTCCGGACTCTGATTCTTTTTTAACTGTTTTGTAAGTCTGGTTTACCAGTCAAACGCTTCGGAAAGGGATCCCAAGAGTCCCGCTTTCATCGACCTGGAAATTATAGTCCTCATAACCTATGAGCGCAGTCAAATATTGTTGTATATTGTTGTTAATTTTCGTTTCCCAAATTTCGTTTTTGAGTCACGTTTGTCGAGGTTAGTCGTACTTCAATCAAAAAAACAATGTGAAACCATAGAACTGATTCACAAGTGGACGTCCCAAGGACAGTTAATTTGTCCCAAAACTGAAATACGTATCAGAAGTTCGCGAAAATGTATGAAAATTTTTTTTTGAGTCAATCGGCAAACGGGGTCAGCGCGACGAGCGGCACTCACCAGACAACTCCGTCAATCGTTCGGCTCGACGATCGGCTGTAACGATGATGCCCAACTGACTGATCGGGTTCTGGTCGAAATAATCGCGAACAAATGTGGCGGCGGCCTATCAGAAGCAATGGGATAGGGAGTGAGAAAAAATGAAGCCCATAAACGGCAATTTGCATCTGCTCGCGAAATGAGCAGTCCCAGACGAATTAACGCTTGAGTAAACAAAGCTTGATCGCGTCCGAAGGCAAAACAATGCAATCCATGCGTAATGAAAAAAATGTGCTGATGTAATCTGATGAAAAAATAAAACAAAAAATAGATATTTTTCAATTACACATATATTCGTCACAAATTTACCCCGTGTTCCCAATGAGGTTATTGTGACGAAAAAAACATTTCCTAGGTACACGAAAAGACTACCGGATACACATGCCTGACGGGCAGCAAAAACAGCGAAGCCAGTCGTATGCCTCCAGGGGAATTTTTTCCAGTCATTCGTATCCGACTTATTGCCAAATATATATATATATATATCACCGGTAGGAGAACAAACATGAAGCCAACGCAAAAACACTGAAAAATAATTGTAGCAAAAGGGACTAGAAAGATGAAATGAAAATGCAGAAAACAGAGAACAAGGAGAACAAATGAAAGTTTCACCGTACAATTTGTGGTGTTTTTGGCTGTTATTGAGAACAATGTTTCGACAAACAAATCACACGGTGATCGTGACGTCTATTCTTGGTCATATCTCTTAGCATCTCTAACCATCGGCAACCCTCACTGCTTGGGCCCCAGAGCCTGGAAGGCGATCTGCACCAACGGAAGCCAATGCTGAGGCCAACTTCTTCATATCTCTACGACAGACCATCACTGTCTGACCTTTGTCTATTCTTGTCGGTATAGAAAACGGCGAAAGAGCTGCAGATGCACACTCGATGAAAAATTAAAAACTAAAATATTACTTCCAACCACCGTTTTCGAAAACAAGACACAACGAGTTCGACAATTCCGTGCAAACGTGCTCACGAGACACTGCAAGTGAAATGTGTGTAAATGTATGTTTATTGGTTCCCATCATCCATCGTTAGCTATACAACGCAGCAGGGTTATTCAACACACATCTTCACTTCCGTGCACACAAGCCAACCGTGCCCCGCTGAAACACTGACAAGATTTGAGTGATTATCATCATCATCATCATCGACTACTTGACAAGTCACTTAAGCGATTCGGTTCATAAAACCGAGCGATTGATTAATCGAAGTTCTGTTTCTCTCTCTTTCTACCGGACAGGTAATCATGAGTCTTGATCTCGAACATTCTTGCCACAGTCCTTATCATCACAATCACCCGTGTATTTGATTGGCATCATACCGGACACCGCTCTTCTGTGCTTCACTTCGAGAGAGCAGTTGATGCAAAGAGAAACAGAGGCGGCAAGAAGTGAGACTTTTTAATCTGTAGCACAAGTGAAGGTTTCACAAACATAAACATACTATCCGCCCACACACCACTGTCTGTCTCTATTTTACTTCCCACTAGATATACCACTCTTTTTGCCCATGTCTTTTCTTCAACAGACGACAAACTAAGCAGCAAACTAGCCACAGTTCGTTAACTTGAAAGAGTGGGGTTCGAAAGTTTTTATCCTTTTCAAGCGAACAGCGCGTCCGGTATGTCAGTCGTATTCATGGGGTGCCTTTTGGTGAGGCTAAAGAGATCAAGTCTGTATCCCGAAATTGTGAAAAGTTCAGTGATCTCGGTGGGACTCGAACCAAAGCAATGGAAGCCGCTTACGCTTTTGCATAGCACACACCCTATCGGCTGAGCCACACCGAGAGCATTGACTTTTCCACATTCGCATCAAGTTTGGTCAAATAAACGGGCACATGAGAGTATTGCAGGATTTGGTTTGAATATATGACCAATTTCGTCGTGTGCACGGAGCAAATGAAGCGCGTGAACTGAAAGCTGTGGAAGCAGTGGACAGCAGCTGTTCGGACCTGGNCCTGGTTTGAGTCTCATCCGCCAGGTGCTTGAATCCATCGACCCAATGGAGGATTGAACAGGACGAAATTCACCATATGGATGGACTCCGTTTAGGATTTCATAGACTTTCTTTACACATAAAAATGGAATGATTTTAGCCCACCTATTAGTCCTGTTCAGTTGATTGATTGGGGCAGTCACGTACAATTG